GTGTGTGGGTGTGGGCATGGGTGTGGTGTGTGGGTGTGGGCATGGGTCTGGGTGTAGAGTGTTGGTCTCTGGCTTCACATAAAGACAACCATACCCACACCCACACCCACACCCACACCCACACCTACACCCACACCCATCCACACCCACACCCCACACCCACACCCTTTTCTAGGTTCAATAATAAAATACATAAATATATTCGTGATTTTTTAGCCACAGGATGTAAATTCAATGAAAAGACTAACGAAGCAGTTGTAAATCAAACGAATATTATTAGCAAAAATGTTAAGACGCTGTGTAATGCCCTTACAAAAAGCTCTAATGTTGTGAAGCTGACGTGTCAAAAATGCTCGTTTTCTAAGGATGCTCTCGACACTCTGCTTGATATCATCATCAACTACTCTTCGATTCGTTGTCTGAATATGATTGCTGTTGATGTTTACAAATCTATTTTATGGTCAAAGTATACCTGCAAATATATGGTCACAGAGTTCAATAATCAAGTATTGAAAGTTCGCTTCTGCGACACATATCAAGATGGAAATACACAGATGCTTACTCAGCTTTTGCTGCAAAACAAGAAGCATCGAAAATTGGATGTTTCGGCGTGCGACTTTCTGGGACATGAACATGATCTTCAGCAGTGTTTTGAGAGGAACAGAATTGTGACGGGACTGACTGTGGAGTATTGTAACAACTTCGATCTCCTCAATACTATATTTACTCTCAAAACAAACTCACTGCGTCAACTAAAACTGACTCATTCATTGCGTGTTCCTTCTACATTAGCTCATTTCTGCGAGATATTGAAGAAAAATAAAACATTGGATGAAATCGATCTAATGGATCATACTGGTTTTGAAGACGAAACTTTTCTGATTAATCTTCTGGACGCATTAAGAAGTCATAAACCAATCAAACACCTACGTTTGCACGTGCAAGATATACAACCATCGAATTGTAAAGAAAATTATTTGATAGAAGCATTGAGAAATGATAAATTTATATCACATCTCTGTATATCTACATCAGTTGTTTCACATGAACTCATTGAAGCGCTGCTTCACGCGTCGAAAGAACGCAATGCTTTGACTCATTTGGAGTTTTATAATAGCCAAGTGATAGACGATGATAGGGCACAGCTGCAATTATTGCATAATGATGGATATTTGATTCAGCTCATTTTCTCTGATCAACCACGATGGCAGATAATGCTTGACGCAACAAATGGATCACTACGGAAGGGTAAGAGCTGCAAAAAGTAGAACTTTGTCAGGAAATATGAAGATGATTCATGGGTATTCACTTGCAACCTTTATAGAGGGATCGAGACAAAATAGAAATTATAGTCATAATCTGTGAAGAATCGATTCATTTAGTTCTTATCAGAAACGAAAACACAGTTTTTATTGTTAAAAAACTCCAATTTTTAGCTCTTTAAGTTGTTTCTATAATAAGTTCTCACGAACCAACTGAGTATGAGCTGTTTCGAAAAAAATATTCATTACCTTTTTTTTTCTTCAATATCATTGAAGGGGCGTGACGAAGATGTATATGATAGATCACAAAATATTAGATAGAGAAATATTTCAAACGATAGAACGGAATCAATGCCACAGATTGGTGCGTTTGGCTTTTTCTCAGGCTTCTATCCTGAGATAAAACGAAACGAATGATTCTTAATATTTTCTTCGACTAATTTATTTGTTCGAATGCAGTTTTTACTTCGTCATCTCGTTTGACCAAAACTGTTTCACCAGTTCTGCAAAGCTCAGTCAAAAGACTATTCAACGGGTGTGGGTGGGTGTGAGTGTGGGTGTAGGTGTGGGCGGGTGTGGGTGTGGGTGTGGGTGTGGGTGTGGGTGTGGGTGTGGGTGTGGGTGTGGGTGGGTGTGGAGTGGGGTGGGGTGGAGTGTGGATGTGCGGAGTGAAAGAAGGCCCGCACTCACACCCACACCGACACTCACACCTACACCCACACCCACACACCCACACCCACCAACTCACACACCCACACACACCCCACACCCACACACCCCCACCCACTCCCCGCACCCACACCCCACACCAAGGGGGTAAGTGCAGGCACCCAGCACCTGCTCAGCACCTACAGCACCTACCAGCACCTACAGCACCTGTTCGGCACCTATACTGCATTTCACTATGAGCACCTACAGCACCTACAGCACCTACGGCACCTGCAACCACTCTTCCATTATCTTAAGTACTTTTTCAGCACCTGGTAACAAAATTTCGTGTTTAGGCTCTGCCCTTTAAATTTTATTACCAGGTGCTGAAAAAGTACTTAAGATAATGGAAAAGTGGTTGCAGGTGCCGTAGGTGCTGTAGGTGCTCATAGTGAAATGCAGTATAGGTGCCGAACAGGTGCTGGTAGGTGCTGTAGGTGCTGATAGGTGCTGTAGGTGCTGAGCAGGTGCTGGGTGCTGGGTGCCTGCACTTTCCCCCTTGCCCCACACCCCATACCAACATCCAGTTGACCTGATGTGACTCGATGATTTTTCTTAGAAACATTTTTTGCAAGACATCGGTTAAAGATCTCATGAAGTTGGATATAAAAATCCATAATAAGGTCAAAAAATGGGAAGGTTTCAACTCGTCACGTTTTTTCTTGTCTGGCTTTCGTAACGAATTGACAGTGCGAAAGCCCGTGACAGAGCTTTTGTAACGACAGAATCAGGGCTTTTGTAACAAAAATCAGGGGTTTCGTAATAAATTTTACAGGGTGATCGTAATTGATGTTTTAATATGTACCATTATGGAGCTTTCGTAATGAAAAGCATGTAATTTCTGCAAACTAAGTCCAGCTATCACCCTCATCCTCATTACGAAATCTCTGTTGCTTCGTTGCGAAAGCTCTGCAACTGTTACGAACTCTCTGTATAAATCGTTATGATCACCCTGTAAATTTTGTTACGACATCCCTGTATTTTTGGATATCCCTATTTTTGGTGTTACGAAAGGTCTGAATTTTGCTGTTTGTTCAACTCGTCACGTGACGAGTTGAGGCGTTCTCAAAAAAATTTCAAAATAAAAATTTGCGTAATGTTTTTACAGATATGTTGCCAATGGGAAGTTTTTGAAATGAAAGTAGAAAAACCTCAAGTTAATCGCTTGAAGAGTTAAAGAGATAATCACGTTTCTGTTTCGAGCGAACTTTTGGAAACACCCTGTATAAGGATAAACAAATCGGCAAAGAAATGAACGAAGTTCATAATACTTTTCTCATTTGTTAAACAGAAAAGAAACAAGTAGAAGCACATATGTATGAGTGAATTGCAACTTTTGTAGTACATGATAATAGTTTTCCAACACTTTATTCTTTTTTTCATGGAGATATAAGATACTTCACCAGAAATACACTGTTGCCAATAGAAAGATCAGCACTGATTCACTGAAACTCAACGTAATAAAGCTACTTTATATTTGTTTGCAAGTCATGCAAAGTAACTTTCCACAATGAAACAAATTGAATGCTGTAAAACACTACTTCTGTTGAAATATTTTTAGAACAGAACTTGAATTTTAA